GGGGAACAGCAGAGCTCAAGGACCCTGCACGTGGACATGTCCAAAGCCCACAGGATTTGGAGGGATCTGTTGTAGAGCTGTTTGCTGGGGATGAGGGGGTTTCAGCCTCCTCTCCCCTCCCATACACACAGAGATAAGCCCAGTTCCACTGGTGTAGCTGTCAAGGGAAGGAGAATAACCCCTGCCAGTTCCTGCAGGTAGAAAGACAGCTGAGCCTGTGCAGCTGTTTGGAGACGACCTGACTACCCTGCCCAATACAGTGGGTGGATGCTGTGCTCAGGGCAGCTGAGGCTCTGAGGGGCTGCCCTGACACTCCAGTGATCCTGCAGGACAAGCACATGGATGTTTTGTGCAGCCAAGCTGAACACTCGGAGCCTAATGAGACAAAGGAAACATGGGCAGCAGAGCAGAGAGGGAGGGAGAGTTGTGATACAGGTCACAGGTAATGGCACAAAAGGGGAAAAATAGCAAATGAGTGCACTTGTTGTGGCCCTTGCTGGGTGACAGCAGCTTCAGAAAGGAGACAGTAGCAGCTTCTAAAACCTCACTTGCTATCTGACGTTATTGTAGGAACTGGAGATCTGCCCCAGCCCGAGGCAGCCGTGAGAAGCCACATCACCAGGACCTCCTGCCTGCTGCTTCAGGCCCACAGGAGCACCCTCCACCCCCCCAGCTCCACTTTGGAGCAGGATGCTAAATCAGAGCAAAGGATTTCAGAGCAGACTTGATACCCAGCTCAGAGGCTAATGAAGCACAGCACCAATGGCTGGATCACTAGGGAAACATCAGGATGCATAAAAACAAGGAAAAGAAAGGAAACTTGTATAAATAAGAGCTGAAAAAAAAATCCACTGGGAGACCCAAAAACCAGTAGCTAACTTGTTTGCTGCCAGTAGCAGCCAGCAGAAAGTAGACATTAAAAATAAAAAATAATACACACAAAAAAAGAGCTGCCTGATGAGGTTGCAGCTTTGCGTCCCCTTCCCAAACCTGCCTCCCAGGCACTCACAGGGCCAAGAAGAGCTGCAGGGTGCAATGGCCCCACTGAATTTCTGCAAGGTGGGTCAAGGCAGAGATCAAACGTGCCTGTCCTACCTCTGCTCACTCCTCTGCTCCCCGAGCCCAGGAAATAAGCCCCCATCTATGGCAAATGCTGCTGGATGTGGCCCCAGGTCTGATTTTATCACAAGACAGAGCAGTAATTAAACAAGGACAAAAGATGGTGGGGATCAACAACAACAAATAAATCTCGTATGTTTTGTTGAATTCAGCAATTTACAAGGCTAGAATAATTAGTGGTTTAAAATGTTTTGACACCAGCAGCCCCAATAATCATGAGAAATCATATCAAGCATATGCCCAGATCCTTGAAGTGACAGATGACAAACAGAGCAGTGACAAGATGCTCCATCACACAGCGAATCATTGAGTTAATGGAAGAATTATTGCTTCTGAAATCCACTCCACTCCTATGGTGGGGAACATTCCAATTTATCAAAGCCAAATGAACATTAATTGCTGCAGCCTGGTAAGTTTTCGAGCTGCTGTGACCTTCATTGAATTTTAATCCAAAACAGATAAGATTTACTTCCACACAAGAGGAAACAATACAATTAAACCCAAATGACAGCTAAGATTATGGGGAAAAAACACAACAGGCATAATGACAAAAATATTGATTCCTTTCTACTTGACACTGCACACACATACACAAAAGGTAAATAAATAAAATCTAGCATTTGCATATTTGTTTTACCCTCTTCCTCCTTTCTTTTCATTTGGGAGACAAATTTCAGGTGCTCAAGCAGAGAGGAAAGGGGTGGCAAACAGTAATGGAGACTGAATTCCCTTTAACTACAGTAATTAATGTTATGTCTCACTGGGGAGAGATTAAGAAAAAAACAGTGAAGAATGGAAAATAAGTATTATTTTGCTGTTAAAGATGCCCTTAGCTCAGGAAGGGAAGTGTGAAGAAGGTCATGATCAGGTGAAGCCCAGGGGCAGATAGTGGCCCCAGGGACACAGGGTCATGGGCACTGGTGGCTGCTTTCCTGATGTACTGGAAGGAAACCCATCCCAAACTAGAAAACCACACACCAACTGTCAAAATCACTGGAAGGAAGAGTACATTTACACTCTCCTGGGGCCCTCATGCAGCCCAGAGGGGGTTTTGGCTTTAAAGACAGAACAGGAGCGACCAGCCAAGTCATAAATATCTGTGGAAGCCCAAAGTAACGTTCCCGTCGGAGGCAGCTCAGGGACGTCTCGCTGCCCACGAGAGCTTTGCCAGAGAACTCCCTGTGCATCAGCTCAGTGAGATGCTCCAGGCAAATCTTCCCAGCTTTCTGTAACACAGCTCAGCTGGAGGAGGAGACAGGTAAAAGTAAGTGTTACAGCCACTTACAGGAGATGGAAGGCAGCTCTTTCCCTCTCCTGTCCCCTGCAGCAACACACTGGGCCTGCTGATGAGTGGGACACACAGGCTGCACTGGGGTGGGCTGGAATTCCTCCTGCACAGTGTGCTTTTAAGCACATGGGAGACATGGGGCTTTATGGCAGGAAACAGGAGGAAAGGTATTTGAGAAGCTGGAAGGGAAGACATGGAGTTGTCCAGCTGCATTCTTGAGGCAGAAGAAGGGATTGGGGAGGGAGGGGGGGAAGGTGCCACACAACCCCCTGCACCAGGATCTGGCTGCTGCCAAGTCCAGTATGGCCAGGGAAGGGAAGGCAGGAGGGCCCAAGTGATGGGGCTCACTGGGGTGTGATTTAGCTTGGGCCAGGGAGGAAAGTAAAGGCATGAAACAGCAGCCTGAACAGAGCCTGAGGACTCAGGTGAAATATTTCAACCAAGAAACAAGAGACATTCACCCCATTTTACTGTAGCTACAGAGCTTCCATGTTGTTTTAAGGGGGGAAAACCAAACAAAACACACATTTGTCTTCTGCTACAAACTCCAAACTTGGCTTGGCTTCAGTCGAAAAGTTAATGAATCTTAAAAAAAAAAATACTGGGCAAAGTTTCAAGTCTGTGCTGCAATCCTGACCCAGGGAAGAAACACATAGGGCTTCTGCTTCCCCAGGGACACGTGTGCAGTCCAGATCCCATCCCAAACCCACATCCCTGCCCAGGGCCTCAACTCCTGTTGCAAAGAGTATGAGGATTTAAAATGAGAGTGGAATTACAGTTCATTCTGTGCAGGAGGAACTCTCCTGTCTTCCCCTTGCTTTTGCAGAAGGGCAGGAGAGGCTCAAGGCACGAGTTTAACTCTCACAACAAAGCCAGGGATGCTCCAGTGCTATCAGCTTCAGTGAGATGTGGCAAAGCATGTCTTCACCAGCTAACCCAGGATTAGAGTGCAAAAATATGTGTTCTGTGATATGCACAGCAATGCCTTCAGCTCCACCCCACCAACATCACTGCTCCTGTGCTCTGAGGAGCAGCAAATGAAGGCTCTGAGCTGGAATCTCTCAAAGAGATTTGTTTCTCTTTCCAAAGCATTAATTTACTACAATCATCACATTGCTTTTTAGAAAGATCAGTGTCAGCAAGGTCTGAGGATCAGGAGTGAATCTCTCCTCCCTTCAGAAAATCTGTATTTCAAGCAACTGCAGGAATCCCCAGGCTCCAGAGCCAGAGGCCTTTCCCCCCTGCAACCACAGACCTCTGCTCCATGGCACACGTTTGCTCACAACAGCCAAGCAATCCCAGACACACATTAAGCACTGAGCTTTTCCAGATCAGGGCTTTACTGCCTTCACTCCCTGATCTCTCTCTGCCCCCTTTTAGTTTTCAGGATCATTTTCTGATCATACCAGTTTTACCTTCCCCCCTCCCCTCAAAATTCCACTACACTGACATTTTTAGCAGGACCTAAGAAACATTCTCTAATCAACCCCTTAAGCCATAGTCCCTAAATTCCTCTCCTTTCTGCCACCCTGCTGCCTCTTATCTTGTCCAACAGCCCTAATGCAGAGTCTCTCTGTGCTCACAAGCACTTGGTGCCCAATCTAAAGCCCCACTGACAAGGGCTGAGATACTCTAAAAAACAGAGTTAAGTTGTAAAAGCCAAAATATCCACTTGCTCAAATGGGAAAAAAAGGCTTTCTGCAGCCACCTTCTCTGTTTCTCCTCCAAAAACAAAGGACAGAAGGTGTGAAGACAAGGCACAGGTTCTGGGATATGAACAGATGCACCTTTTGCAGAGACTTGCTGCAATGGCATCCCCATCCCTGCACAAGACCTCTTAGGGCAAACAGGTGACATCCATATACACAACATCTACAAGCCGGACTTGTTTTTTTCTTTTATTAACAAGACCTTTTATCCCACAAGGAGTTAAGGGACAATACAGGGAGTCCTATTGTACAGACAGAGCTTTAAAGCACAGAGGGATGATGGACCAGATCCAAATATGCAAGCAACCACTTCATAAGATACTGAAATAAGCATTTTTAAAGGCACCAGGGCACACAGACAATATGTTAATAAACAGTCACATAAACACCCGAGATTAAGATATTCAAAGCATCCGGGTCATCTTTTTGCTTTCAGGTCAGGTTCAGACTGTGCAAGTGAAGGGTATCACACTACAGCCCATATCCACTGCACAGGTAAAATTCAGTTACAGAAAGCTTCAAGAAGAAATTATCAAGCCCCAAATCCTGTCTTTGCATCTAACCAAGGAGAAATACCTCCTCATACCTTACCAGCTGCCAGCAGAGACAGGAAGAAATACAAGCCTCCTTGTCACCCTCTCAACAGCTCCTTCCCTGTGGTCCATTTTATTTTCTGAAAAGATGAACCACACTTTTTGTTCCCCTGCCCATTCACACACAGCTCTCCCTCTATGAAAGCCCAACCAAGAAGAGACACAGACATTTGCAAACAAGACTCACCACCCAGCTCTTTAGCATCCCCCAGCTCTATTACAACCACCTTTCCCCCACGATCTGGCTGCCAGCTGCTGCCCCCTCAGATGCCATTGGCACTTTTGACTCACCATGACTGAGATATGAAGAATATGCATCTGCTCCTCCACGATCTCCGAAGGCTCCTGGAGGCTCGGGGGGGTGGCCCGGGAGAGCTGCTCAGCACTGCTCATGGAAACATGGAAGTACAAGGTGCCATTCTCCAGCCACTGCTGCTTCCAGTGCACCAGCGCAATGTCAGCCACGGTCCCCGACATCTCTGCAGGGACAAAACATGCAACTGGGCATCAATTTTCTCCATGAGACCAGAAGGCAGTATCCTTAGCAGTCCTGGAAATCAGAACTTTGGAGGCTTAATCCTACTTAGTGTAACATCAGATCAACTGGATGAGCTTGAGGGTTCCTTTTGGCCTCCATTTCCCCGGTGTAGGAACAGTAACAGACGCCTTCCTTAACAAAAGCAAGGGGCTACAAAGTGCCTTGGGATTTCTAGACCAGAAAAGTGACAACAGTAAATAACACATTGCACAAGGTGCCTTTAATCTTGGATAGCTCTCCCAGCAAAAAGGCTGGAAGAAGCTCCTGGAGGTCTGCAGCCAAGCCCAGGGGAGGTTTGCTGCTTGGCACAGGGCGGAGGGAGGACATTTAGTGCCAAGCAAGCAAAACCACAGACACCAGTACATGCTCTGCTGGCATTTACAATCAAAACCTTCTTCCAGATAGTGAGGTAACACTACAACTGTATTCAACAGGGACATTCCCAGCACAGACTGATGAGTACCATCAAGAAGAGATAACCATGTCTGTCCATCTTCTTCTGCAAGCTTCTGTTAGTTTTACATTCCACCCAATCCTGATTTACAGCATTAAGCACCCTAGGAGCCAGGATTCCAGCAGCCCAGCACACACCCCCACTCCAGCAGCTCCCCCTGACTAAGGCCATCACATCTAACTGGGGGTGTGGACCATCCAGGCACTGTGTAGCCAAACATCAGCTCCAGATCTGCAGTCAGAGCCAGCAGCTTCAAGCCTCAGCTGCGGCTCCCAGTTTGGCCAGGCAGCAGCAGACACAGGCAGGAGTGCTGACAGCTCCACAGCTGCCTATCAAGTTCTAAACAGATCTCTGCAAAGAACTGATTTGGCAGTTTTAGCAGCCAAATCCAAACCGAAAAAAAAAAAAGAAAAAAATACTAGCACAAAATGAGCCAAAATATTTCTCCTTCCACCACCTCTTTTTTGGTGTTTGTTTCTCCATTTGCTATATAAGCAATGGGAAGCAAGTCAGGTCCTCTTAGTCACCAGGCCCACAATTCAGCAGTCACCCACTTTGTGGGAGACCCAAATTAAATTCCCTCCTGTTTGGAAACAGCAACAGGCTGTAATGGACAGTGACCTGCAGTCTGCCCAGGATGTCTGCTCAGAAAGGCTGGGAGCATGAGCCCAGGCTCCCCTGGCACCCTGGTGGGAATGGAGACAAGGCCCTCCTCCATACCCTGGCCACAGAGGGGACAGGACTGGTTCCCCTGTAGCCAAAGGGTTCAGGGAACAGTGGTGGCTTTTTGCATTTCATCCTGAACCCAGCTGGGCACAAGCAGATCCAGCTCCATCTCTCAGTGGAGAAGAAAGGCAGGAACCAGCCCACCTGAGGCTGTCCTGAGGAGTCACCCAGACCTTTCAGGACAAGATGCCTCAAGGCATTTGGGTGCTGGCTCACCAGCAGCTGTGCAAGCTACAAGACCAGGTACTTCCACTTCTACAGACTCACCTCCCAGCCCAGCAAAAAAGCCCTTTGATACTTCAGGACAATTATTATTTTCTTTGAATCCCTGAAATCAATACATTTCCCAGCAGCAAACTCCTGGCTTCCTGTCATGGATAAACACTGAGCCAACTAATCCCTGCTCCCAGAGAAGCTCCAAACCCCTAGTCCTGCAGACTCTCTCCCCACTGCACAGCCCAGCTGAGGGCAGGGACTAGGCAACCTCATTATCACCAGCTCCTTGATTTAGCACCTCACTAATTACAGCAGTCACACACCTGAGGTGGTTGCACCTTCACCTGTATCTAACTGAAGGCCTCTGCTCCTTATTCTTGCAACTCCAGCACAATTCCAGTCCTTATCCCCATCTCCACACACATCTGAGCACTCAAAGGAGAAAAATTAAACCACTCCTGACCATGAGTGGAATCCATCAAGAGCCCCCACTTGCAATTTAGAAGGGACATGTGAACTCCTTGTCATGTCTCTGTCATTGCAATGAGTTCATTCCTCATAATCCCTTCTCTCCTTTAATATAAATAGTTGTTTGCTGCAGCAAACCAGGAGCAAGAGGTGTTGCTGGCACTCTTTACCCTGTAAATCCAACCAGCCCTGTGGTTCATGCTGCAGGACAGTGACTTGTCCAAGACCAGGAAATCTAATGAAATGAGAAATGTGTGTGTCTTGCCTCCAAAGAGGCTAAAGCAGAATGTTTCTTGTAGTACTATCTGTAAGAACAGAACCAGAGGAGTGTCAGGGCTGCTTAATTGCAGTCTTCTTTCTAACAATACTTCAAGAGTCTGCACTGAAAAGCAGCTCCAGGTCTAATTAAAATTGCAACAAATGTAACTTTTAGGAAAAACAGTAACTCAGCTTAGGGACAGATATCACACAGTCTTCTTGAGAGGCAAAGAGGCCATGGGACAGCACAGAAGCATCAAGAGATAGGACTCTGGATATGCAAAGCCATCTTATTTCTGTTCAGAGGAGAGAAAGATTTACAGTATTACACACTCATCACACACATCCCTGCAGCAAAACTTTCCAGAAGAGCTCAGGAAAGGAGGTTATATCATCACCCAGACCACACCACAGACCCAATGTGGGTGCCAGGACCCCACCACTAGGGCTACCTCAGCCCCAAAAGCTACATCACATTAGGAAAACAGGAAAAAAAACCCTCCAGAGTCAATAAATCTCCACATTTTTCCCCTTGCACACACATTTATTTTTTTTGCATGGGATGTTTAAAAAGATCACAGGGAACATTTCTGAGATATAGGCAATTTTTTGGATTTTAGCCTAGACTGAAGATAAGCCTGTTTCATTTTCAAAAGGTCTCTTCCCAAAGTAGAAACTTCAATTTAACATTCATTTCACAATTCTAAGCAAACCTAGCAGTGAGGCAATTTCTGACGAGAGTTGACTTGCCAAGCCTGGGTACCATTTACCAGACATTTAAAAATACCTGTGTGCTTTTTCACCCCTGCAGCTCATGTTGCAGGAAACCTGCATTACTAATCCCAGCAGTGCCAGGACATCATGAGCCTTCAATCAGATTTCCTGCTCACAAGAAAAAAAAGGAAAGAAGAAAAAAAAAAAGCAAAGCCTTTTCAAGCCCTGTTAGCTGCCAAATCCTTCAAAATCCAAATACAGGGAAGTTTCTCAGCCTCACCTACTTGACATGAATATTCTATTTCCTGTGTTTCACTGGACACACATTGTTACTCTACTAGCTACACAGTGGTTAAAGCAGTGATAGCCCTATCAGGAAGGATGCAACACTCTGCAGGATGATTGCCTGTTATCAGAGCTTTGAAATGCTTTTGAAACAAATTAAGGGCTCTCCTGCACCAAAACAGAATGAGATACAGTTGAGGCTTTAAATGGGCAGCAATGCAAAAGCACTTGTAGTCTATAGTTATTTAAAATCTCAGCATCTAGCAGACTCTCAGACAGGGTTCAAACACAGTTTCGTGGGTATAACACTGAGTAAAACAAACAATGAAACATCTGCTGTGCCATCTTCCTACCTGATCACTGCACCCAAGAGAGAACAGCAGCAAAAGGATAAGAGTCCTCCTTCTCCCCAGCAGCCAGCCAGACCCCTTCTCCCCAGCCAAAGTCCACAAGCAGTTGTATTTCTCCATGCCAGAGCAGAGCAGAAAAGCCACTGAGTCTGTCCTTCTTGCTCCAGGAGCAGAAATGTCTCCTCCCCAGCCCCTCCTGCTCCCAATTACTCACACCTGCCCTTCATCCCCCATCATGCAGCTCAGCTGAGCCCAGGGCAGCACTGCCTCCCCCAGGCATCACCACCCTTCCACCTGACCCAAGCATGACCTGAGGTCAAGAAAAGGGCACACAGAACACCTTCTTTTTGTCCTTCCTCAGGCTCTGGGTGCCATAAAATTGCTATTTCCATATCTTCCTTGGAAATCAAACAAGTGACCCAAACACAACCCTTCCTGGGGCTCAGTCCCCAACCTGGGCTCATGCCCATCAGAAGGTCTCATGCCCAGGACAAGGTCTGAGGAGGCAGGGGACAGCAGAAACCACAGCAAGATCTCTTTAAACTGATTCTCTAGATCCATTTTTCCTTTCACATTTCTACAACCCTTACATATAAACATTTCATTGAAGTCTTCAACTCGTATTACAATCAAACTTAAAAGCAAAAGGGCCTAAATGCATTTGGTTGGGAACCAAGACGATTCCCATAAAAGCAGATTATGCTGACATGATGAATATAAAATGAAACAGCAGATATTAAAGTTGGTGGATTGTTACTCTGTGCCTTCGGGCTCCTGGCCACCCTTACCCACCTCCTTCCTCTCCTGCTCTGTGTTACAGAAAGCAGAGAGCAGGCAGGGAGAGCCTTTTCACCTCTGCCTTCTCCAAGGCTGCCAGGCTTGAAATATTCCCTCACTCCCCCCGCCAGCCCCCCCAACTTTATGCAATGCTTCAACATTCATCAGCTATTCAGGAGGCTGAAGCCCTGACTTATCTGTCATGGCATTTTACAAAGCCTGGTTTTGTATTTAACTGGCTTGTTCTTGCTAATCTACCATGATTATTGTGTTTTTATTTAATTCTTGAAGGTCATTATTAAAATAAGCCATTTTGCTGCTGGCAGTTCATTCCCACACAGTTGCCCACCCCCAGATAACCAAACCTTCCTTATGCTTTCCCTCCCCTCTTCTCCCCAGCACTGCCTGGGCCCTGGGACCTGCCAGACACCTTCACAATAAGGACCAAATCCACGGTGTGATGGGTGGGAAGCTTGTGAGTAATATCCATGTATAGATCCAGGCTCCTTCTGCCTTTTCCCTCACCACTTGCTTCATCCCAGCAGGACCTGCACCCTGCAGCCAGACTTCAGCAGCTCACCTGCACAACTCAGCATCTTCACCTGTTGGCAGGGGCAAAGCTGGAGATATGGTTACTGATTAGATTTCCTTTTAGGACAGGCCCAGATACACGATCCCAACTCACACAAAA